ACAGCGTCAGCTGTAGAAGATGTTCCACCATCAGCTGAATGTATCTCCACCAACTGGCTCCTCTGGTCTCTGGTTCTGATCCGTGCTGCATCTACTCATTGATCCAGTAGGTTGGATGTTCCTCTCAGGCTCTCTGAGGAACCTCTGGCTGCAGCTCACTTGAGGAAAAGCTGAAAATCTGACCGTTGTGTTTGTTTTTACAGTTTGTGGCTGAACAAGTATTGAGTGTTTAAGCTCCTGTTTCTTTCAGACTCGGGGCTTCGTGCTGTTAAAGGGTTTAACTTTGTCTGTCAGTACGGGCACCGTGTGCCTGCAGGTGTTGTCCTCACCTGCCGAAGAACGCCACCTTCATGTGTCTCCGGAGCAGAACCTCCCTGATGGTGGACAGTTTGGTGGAGCAGCTCTGCAGCTCCAGACTCTGCTCCTCCACGACCACCTGAGCGAGGTCGTCGCTCCGCCACGCCTCTGACATCACAGCAAACACACGACAACAGGTAAACACCAGATCCAAGGACAGCAGACACACACCTGAGCAGGACATGAGGGGAGCGAGGCAGCTCCAGGTTTAACTCTGGGTTCTCAGGACTATGATGGTGGCTCTTCCATCACCATGGTAACCGAGGCTGAACACCTGAGCTGTCTTCCTGCTGACCAATCAGCTCTCTGGAAACAGACGCTGAAGCCTTGAACTTCTTCCATTTATAAGATCTGCAGTAAGACCATTTATCAGTTTGAACGAGGTTTTGCATTTGTTCCTCACTTCCTCCTAAAACAGCTTCAGCTGAAAGAGAAACACTGAAGCCGTCCTCAGATCCATGTGCAGCTAAGACATCAGAAACATTCAGTTCATGTATGTTTGTAGCTACGGTCTGGTCTACCGTGTCCTCGGCGTGAGGTCGTGATGTCACTGATCCTGTTGACATGCAGCTCTGTTGCCTTCCGTCTGAACTATGAGCTTCAAACCTTCGTATCTCTCTCATACTGTGTTTGCTCTTTGTTTGGGAAATACGTCACTATGCTGCCAGTAGACCTGTCCGTGTCTGTGACTGGTCATCTGCAGCTCCGCCTCCTTCAGGTGAGAATGCTGACGTCTCACATGCAGGTTCAAACTCTGGTCGACTCGGCCGGTTAATAACCAGGTTAACTGAAGCCAGATAACTAAACACATCTGGATAATCTGAACCTAGTACACAGCTGTGTGTGTGTGTGTGTGTGTGTGTGTGTGTCTGACCGTCCACGAAGGCGGAGCCATCCTTTACAAAATCCAACAGCTGGTCAAAGATGGAGGTGATCGAACGCTTCGCAACAACAAAACGCCGCAGAGGAGACGGATCCACGTCGTCCATGACACCTACACACTCACACACACACCTACACACTCACACACACACCTACACCTCACACACACACACACCTACACACTCACACACACACCTACACCTCACACACACACACACACACACACCT